GTGAGTCTCCTGCCTCCACCTCCCAAGTAGCTGATACCACAGGCACCCGCCACAATGCCTGATATTTTTTTGGGTTGTAGCCATCATTGTTATTTGGCAGTCCCTGGCTGGATTCAAACCTTCTACCTTAGGTGTGTGTGGCTGGCGCCTTAGCCACTTGAGCCACAGGCGCCAAGCCCCAAGTTTTCCTAAAGACCCTGACACACTCCTTTCAGATGGATATTGAACCCTGGGTCATGTCAACTCAAACAGAGCCTCTCCAAGATACATTGCAATGAACCTATCCAAAGTCAAGATGAAAGAAAAAATTCTATAAGCAGCCAGGAGTAAGCACTAACTCACCTACAGAAACTGAGCCATTAGGATGGCAGCAGACTTTTCTTTCTTTCTTTTTTATTTTTATTTTTTTGAGACAGAGTCTCACTAGCAGCAGACTTTTCAACTGAAACCTTCCAAGCCAGAAGAGCATAGTCATCTACCTTCAACATTCTTAAAAAAAAATTTTTAAAATCTATGTGAACCAAAAAAAAAAAAAAAAGAAAAAAGAAAAAAAAATTTTTAGCCCAGAATTCTGTGTCCTATTAAAATAAGCTTCAGAATTGATGGAGAAATCAAATCTTTTGCAGTTATACAAGCACTGAGGAATTTGGCACAATAAGACCAGCTCTACAGGAAATACTTAGACCTATTCTCAATGCTCACCACTACAGTGGATCATTAGCAGAGTAAACACCAGAAGCTATAGGTCAAAACTTAGCTTCCACAGTGGTGCAGAGGATAAAACTACACAATGGACTTTCATAAAGTAAGATGAATAGAACTCCTCCACACTTGTCAGTTCTCTCAATAAATGTTAATGGACTGAATTCACCACTGAAGAGGCACAGGCTGGCTGATTGGATAAAAAAGCACAAGCCCTCCATATGCTGTCTCCAGGAGATACACCTAGCCATGAAGGACAAATCAAGACTCAAGGTTAAGGGATGGAAAACAAAATTTCAAGCAAATGGAAATCAGAAGAAAGGAAGGGTTGTAATCTTATTTTCAGATACAAGTGGATTTAAAGCAACTAAAGGTAAGAAAGACAAAGATGGACACTTTATACTGGTCAAAGGAACAATACACAAAGACAGTTCAATTTAAAATATTTATGCACCCAATTTAAATGCTCCCAGATTTATGAAACAGACCCGGATGGGTCTGAGCAATATGATGTCCCATTAACATCGTAATAGTCGGGGATGTTAATGCCCCTTTGACAGCCCTGGATAGATCCTCTAAATAGAAACTACACAAAGATACAAAGGACTCAAATGTGACCCTAGGACAAATGGGATTAATAGACATATACAGAACACACCATTCCAAAGCTAAGGAATATACATTTTTCTCATCAGCCCATGGTATGTACTCCAAAATCAACCACATCCTAGGATACAAATCAAACCTCAGCAAGATTAAACAAATATTAATTTTACTTTGTATCTTCTCAGACCACAAGGCAACAAAGGTGGAACTCAACTCCCCCAAAAACGTTCATCCCTACACAGAGATGTAGAAATTAAACAACCTTATGCTGAATGATAGCTGGGTTCAGGAAGAGATAAAAGAGGCAATCGTTAAATTCCTCAAACATAACAACGGCAAAGATACAAGTTGCCAAAACCTGTGGGATACAGCAAAAGCAGTCTTAAGAGGGATATTTATCGCGTTAGATACCTACATTTGAAAAACAGAAAGAGAACACATCAACAAACTCATGAACCTTATGGATTTGGAAAAAGAAGAACAATCTAATCCCAAACCCAGAAGAAGAAAAGAAATAACCAAAATTAAATCAAAGATTAATGAAATTGAAAACAAAAGATGCATTCAGAAAATTAACGAAACAAAAAGTTGGTTTTTTGAAAAAATAAGTAAAATTGATACACTTTGGCCAGGTTACCTAGAAACAGAAAAGCAACATCTCCAATAACCTCAATCAGAAACAATAAATGAGAAATAGCAACAGATGCCACAGAGATAGAAGAGATCATCTCTGAGTACTACAAGAAACTATGCCTAGAAATTTGACAATGTGGAGGAAATTGATTAATACCTGGAATTGTACTCTCTCGCTAGACTTAATCAAGAAGAAATAGATCTCTTAAATAGACTGCTTTCAAGAACTGAGATCAAAGAAACAATAAAAAATTTCCCAACAAAAATAAGCCCTGGTCCAGATGGCTTCGCCCCAGAATCTATCAGGGAAGAGCTTATACCTATATTGCAGAAATTATTCCAAAAAATTGAGAAGGAAGGAATCATTCCCAACACTTTCTACAAAGCAAACATCACCCTGATACCAAAACCAAGAAAAGACCCAACTAAAAAGGAGAATTTCAGACCAATTTCACTAATGAATATAGATGCAAAAATTCTCAATAAAATCCTAGCCAATAGATTATAGCTACACGTTAAAAAAAAATCATTCATCATGATCCAGTAGGTTTCATCTCAGAGAAGCAAGGCTGATTTAAGATATCTAAGTCCATAAACATAATTGACCTTATCAACAGAAGCAAAACAAAGACCATGTGATCCTTTCAATAGAGATACAGAAAAAGTATTCAATAAAATTCAGCATCATTTTCTAATTAGAACTCTGAAGAATATAGGCATAGGTGGCACATTTCTTAAACTGAAGCCGTCTACGACAAACCCACAGCTAATATGATACTGAATGGAGTAAAACTGAAAGCTTTTTCAGTCAGAACTGGAACCAGACAAGGTGGTCCTCTACCACCAGTACTATTCAACACACTGCTGGAAGTTCTAGTCA